TGGCTTTGGTTTCTGAATCTGATCTCCCTCTTTGTTGGTGGTGGTGGCGGTGTTGTTCACAGGCAGGCTCTCTCCTCCAGGAGAGCCTCCTCTCTCCTTCATCAGATAATGGGTTTTCTCTTCGTTCTTTGTATTTCTCTTTTTCTCTCTCACTCAAAGGCACTAGGTAGAAGAAGAGCTTGAGATTGCAGGGGGTCCTGTGGTCTTTATCTTAGACACCAATCTCGAGATTCTTCAGGGACAGAGAGTGATAGCCTGATAGGGCCAATTTTTTTTCAAAAAAAAAACTGAAAAAGGAAGCCGTTTAGATAAACAAAAACAAAAGCAACCCACAGAAATAGACAGAGAGAAAGAAACAGAGAGATGAGACTGTGTTACTGTGTAGTGTTTTTTTGTTGTTGCTGTTGTATATAAATATAATAATTGTTTTTGTACGTGACAGAGACATCAAACAGAGAAAAAAGAAAGAAAAAACCAAGCAATGCTAGTGCCTAATGAAATTGAAAAAGACCAAGTGTGCTTCATTTAGCTTTTCCTTTGCTTGTTTTCTTTACCTCTTTTCCTGCTTAAATCATAAAAAATAAAAAAAACTCCGAACAGAACAATCTGCTGATCAGTACTCTCTCCCTCCCTCTGACAACAATATAAACAAATACTTCAATAAAAATTACTGGAACTGAAAGAGAGAGAAAAGAAAGAATAAATGAGAGGCTGATTTCCTTTTTTTTTTTTTGCTTGTTTTAACCTGTCATTTGCAGAGACGTTTTAATTATAGACGATTGTTTTATTGTTTGTAGCTCTTCATTTCTTTCTTTAAAATATCTGCTGGTACTAAAAAGATTACTCTGATGCAGAAATAGCATCCCTCTCTCTCTCTAGCATCACTGTTTCAGTACTTTAGCTCTGTCTCTAGCATTTGTTTGGTTGCTCCTATCCTACCCTATGTGATGCATGCATGCTGTCTGTATGTGTATGTATGTCAGTATGAGTATGCACTCGGGCATGGCATGATGTCTGATTGATGCATGTGAAGATAATGCGTCCGTTGCGTCTGTGGGCATGCATGTTGCATGGGAGGCGTGAAGAGAGAGAAAACAATCACGATGGACAAAATTTTACTTTTCTGAAAGCCCGAGTATGGGTCCTGATGGGTGAGCCAACCACGACCCGGTTCCGACTTATTCAGGTAATTGTGGTTGTTCAAAATTAAGCTCAAGTTTTTCCATTTTTGAGCATGACAAAACAACTTTTGATCAGAGAAAATTAAGTGATAATACATAAATGCTAGACATAGATGAATATGATTTCTCTTATTAAGTCAATGTGATAATACACCAATAGTACATATAGATGAAAATGTGTATCAGATCAGAACATCCTTGTATCTTAAATAAAGTTAAATATAAAGATGAAAACTGTAGCATCAAAGATTTTGGTGCAAAGATAGAGCATGACCAACCAACCTTTTGGTAAGAAATCAAAGTGTTTCCCACCTCCATACCTTGGGTCAGAAGAATCCAAGAGAGAGAGTAAAATTTTGAAAGAGTGTGCTTCCGCTTTGGATGCTTTGAAGATGGACAGAGACAACACTTTCATTGCAAATGTCAACCTTGTGAAATCTAAAAGTCAACAATTGCTTTATTCTACACAGACTGAGGCTCACTTGGTGTTTTCTTGTCTTCCGCCCGCCCGGCCCCGCCCCATTTGATTATCATGATCTTTGCCTTGCTTCTCTTTTTAACCTTTTATTTACTCGTAATTAGTTTCCTTTTGGAAGGGATGGGCAGGGAAAGGAAGGGAAGTCAGTCAGCAGGGGTTTGCGGTTTGGGACATGGTGACCCCACCCCATGTTCCCCTCAGAATCACATTGCGTGATACTGCAAAATATAAACATTTTACAAAGCAAAAAGATGCAAGATGGAAGATGGCAGATGGATGGGGTGACCCCATTTTTTGTCATGCACCAAAAGAAAAGTGTCTGTGTGTGTGTTAGCCAGCAATTAGCCTCCAGGAATTAGACCCCACCATCACCATGCACATTTCTCACTCTAGAACTGTGTGCCTTTGCTTTGCTTCCGTTTTACACCTCTCTCGCCATGTTTTTGTGTATTGTCATTGCGAGTGAGGTGGTGCGGGGGTCCATATGCATGATCAGAGGTGTAAAGGTGCCTCTTGCCTTACTGATATTATTTATATATGCAAAGGGAGTGAGAAGTTGTTTGCTACTAATTATGCCACGAATTTCATAAAATACTTGTTATAATTAGGAGTGGCATTAAAGTATATGAATCTCATTTGTCAAAACCTTAAGAAAACGACAGGAAAAAGGAAGGAAGATCATTGCCAAGCCATGGATGATAGATCTCTCTTCTCAACATCACCATGCATATCTTTATATGTACTGTTTACATGGAGACAACACAAGCATCTTTATCTTCATATTAGAAGTATTGATCAGGTGCATGCTTCTGGAAGCAAGGCAATGTTGCCTATATATGTATCCATGTATTTTCAGCAATTCAGCTATACTTTTCTAGGGTTTACTTCAGCTTCTCCTATATCAAATAGTTAAGCAATCTGACAAGATATATAGCAAACAAGGATATTGCTTGTTTTTGGGTTTCTCAGGCAGCTGCCAATATCATCAAATTTATTTATTTTTTTTAAATGTCTCTGGAAATTAAGCTCCCACAGTTCATTGATGTTGTATTACTATCTGTTATGGTAAAATTCTCTTCCATTATGATATAGCAAAATATGGAATAAGATGTGACATGCATGCTAGTTATTCTGAACAAACCAAGAAAGAAATAATTAGAAAATTGTAGACAATATTTTTCTCCTGAATTATTTCTCTCTGTTGTCTTGTCTGCAAACTGTTGGGGGTTGAATTTGGTGATGACTAATGGCTGATGAGGGCTGAAACAATATCGGAATGATTAAGGAGGAGAAAATGAAGAAAAGAAAGAAGATGCATGTTCCAAGACAAAAACCCATTTCATAAATATATATATAATATACAGTAGTGGTATCTACTGATACTACAAGTTAAGAAAAATGATGCAGATCCAAAAAGAGACAAATTCAGAAAACGTTTATGATTTAATTTCATGGAAAAACTGAAATGATTCAACTGCTGGAAAGAAAAACGTTAAGGTTGAATTTTAGTAGATTCCATGCCCTTGATGAAGGGATATATAATTGGGACAAGAGGATATTGTTTGTTGTTTGAACCATCCATAATCAAAATCATTGACAATGATCAACAGTAGTACTAAAGACCACTTGGTTGACCTCATTTTTTTTTTTCAACCACTATAATTTCTGACAAGTTTGGAGAGAGAACATATGAATAGGGAAGTGAATTACAAGATATTACAAAAAACAAAGACAAAATTAAAATTATCTAAGGTATAATTAATGGATATGTATCATTTTGCACGTCAAGCCTTATAAATTAAAAAATAAATATATATATACATTCTTAATTTTAAAAATGAATGTCATTATGACAAGGGCCTTAGGCCCAAACGATTGCAAGCCCACAACAAGTGACGTAGTCATCAAACACCATAGTCGTTATAATAAAAACAAAATACTCTTGACAATTACCATCATAGTATTGTATTGCATTATATTGTCTTGTATTGTATGGCGTGTTATGTACCCCTCAGACAAGGAGAGAGCACGTACCCAAAGGTTTGATGTCACTCTCTCGCCATACTCAGACACATACAATACAAACTTAAGCATCGGAGAGGGAATCGTTGAAAACCCGCCTGTGATCCTTATTTACGTCTCCACCCACGTCAGTCGAACACCCTTTCAACCCATCCAATCCACCTCTCCTCTCCTCAACAGATACATACTTCGATTTAAACTTATAATTTTATATTTACTTACCTTCACTATAGTTTATTATCTATTTAATAAACTAAAATTAAAAAGTAGCGACAACTTTCATCAAAATTAATTCAAGTAAATTCTATGTTTATAATAAAAAAAATTTTAGAGATAAAATAATAAATTTATTAATTGATAAATGTTTTAAAAATTCGGATAATCAAATGTATATATTTAACGTAGGTACCAAATTGTAGATTAAAATAATAATTCAAGTACCTTATTTGTTATTAACAGTTTTAGTTTTAAAATATAAAACAATTATTAAAATTGATGGTGCACTTTTAGTCATTTATTCATTTTTAGTTTAAGGTATTTAACTCAATATATATTTATTCATTTATTCTAATCCTTCTTCTTTCCATCAACATCGGAGAGTGGTCGAACCCAAATAAATAAATAAATAAAACCATACTAAGCTTAAGCTTAATGTTGCTTGATATAGAGCACAAGGTAATGATTAGATGAAATGTGCACTCTCCTAAAGTCGAACATATCATGACTCATGATCTAATTAGTGCTAATATATTTAATTGAAGATCAAATCCATGACATCTTAAAGTTGGATTTCCATGTATAATAGAGAGTTATCTGCCCCATCCCCATTTTGAGCTTAATTCATTCAAATGCCCATGGCCTTCCCTTTTCCAACGGCCCATGCATTTTCTTCTTCTATATTTTCCTTGCAATAAAATATCAACTTTAAATTAAGAAATTCTTCACTTCTCCTAATCAGAAACACAAGACCTTCCCTCACTTAAGATTCAGACCAATCAACTTATACAACATACATTGACAGGGGTTCCAGTTTTTAACTAAACTATGGCAAACTTAATCAGTAAAAAGGTACAAGGGAGCTCCAACTCTATGCCACTAGAATCCCATCATCTATGCCTTCTCACTTCATGCCAGCTACCCTCTCCCTCACAATAACAATTTGGACCAGGGTTGATTCTTTAGGCCTGCAGCGGCCGGCCATTGCCCTACTTACAAAGAAACATACATCACTTGCTCATCAAACCTTCTCAAGCTGCCCAACCTCTATTAAGTTTCACTCTTGAGAAACCATTATACATACACATACATATGTCTCATTCTTGGTGGCAAGGACAACAACTTCCATTCACTCTAAGCCAAGCCAACCATGCCAAGACATAAACATACAACACATTACAAATCGAATTAAACCATCTCAAATTATTATCCAAGTTGATAAGAATAGCTAATGGACATGGGGCTAATACTACACTGCAACAAGATCTAACCCTCACTAAACTATTGAAAAACAAATTAACCTGACTCCAGTTTTTCGTTTGAAAGACTCCAACCTATCACAACATTTAAATCCACAGAGCAAACTTCCTATCAGTCACTCAGGAAAAAAATGTGCAGGAGAACTATCAATGCACTTGAACAACACTCTACCTTGCTTCATTTACGCAACCTCCCTATGGTCCTGCCTATTACTTGAAAATCTATACACATTACTGACTTGTAAGTACAGCACTAGAATGGTTGGTGTCGAACCTATGTTCTCTGGCTTTGTGGTAATAAGCCCATTGTATATATCAGCAACTGCTTCCAAAATCTCAAGATGTGCCCTCTGCGGAATTTACCTCATTTTTATCAGAGTTCAGATTGATATCGGACTGTGATTTATCACCTGATGCTGCATCATTCTGTTTGTTTCCATTTTTCTTTGCATTGAGAAACCGGCCCCCAGATCCTCTAGCCCTTCTCAATGCATGCAAATGACGGGATTCATGCAAGTATGGCTGCAAAATCAGTGCAGTGGCAACTAATGAGTCAACACTGTAAAACTAAACGCAAACATTTGAAATGAGAAATAATCATAAAACCAAAAATGTTAACGTACTTTCCGAGACTTGAGAACTTTATTCTCTGATTCAGCTTTTGCACGAGATTGTCGACGCCGCAAGATGCCATGATATTGTTTTGCATTCACAAACACAGGCTCCTCAACTGCATCAGATGGCAAAGGAACTCCAGCTTGCTGAATACCCATCAACTGAAGATGGACCTAAAACAAATGCAAAAATAAGCCAACTGCAGTCTTAAACCCATAATTACAATTGTTTGATAAAAAAATAGGGTCAACAAACAGCACAAAAAAAAATACTATACCATAGGTTGACCACCGTAGGGCTGTGGAGGATATGGTTGTGCATCATAGGGAGCAAAGATGCTTCTATAATAGGGATCTGGATAGGGGTAAGCAGCTGGTGCCTTCAGTTTTATAAGCCAAGGAAACAAATAAATATATCAGAGATCCTTAACAAAATTTTGTACCTCTGTAGGTCATAGTTAGCAATTATTTCAGTCATATAACGTCAGCAAGAACTAACATTTTGCACAAAGTAAATCCTTTAAAACAAACACAGGCTCACAACAGCACCAAACAAAAGTGCTTTTACAGATGCAGGAAGAAGAGCAACATCTTTTGATTATCATAATAAGCATAAAGCAGTACCTCAAGTTTCAAATAGCTCAAACCACAGAAAGTTTTATTTAGTAATTTCATTTAGAGTCACCTCCTTCTCAAAAGTGAATAAACAGATGCACCAACATCATACAATCTTTTTTCATCAGGGATGTTTTATATCAAAACTGTAAGATTGTAGTAGCTGGGAAAGAAATAAACACATCAACTCTGAAGCAAATAATTTTTCTTAGCCAATGAGGATTTGGTCTAATTATGAGTCAAGCTACTTGTTAGTTGTGCGCTACTCAGGCTCGGCTTGATGAATACTAGAATTCAACTTGTTTACAGTCAAGTCAAGCTCAGGCTCAAGCTGCTCAAGTAACAAGTCAAGCCTAGTTCAGCTTCGTTAATCCTCAACTTGAGTGGCTCACAAGCCTCCTTACATATGTTAATAAAACTTAACAGAAGAAAAAAAAACATATGTTAATAATAATCGAGCCTAATCGAGTTAAGCTTAAGTAACTCTATTATTTTTTGAGTCGAGCTTGACCCTCGAGTGTTTTAATTGAGCCAAGCTCAAGCCTAGCACTGTATCGGCTTGGCTTGGCTTGGCTTGGCTTGTTTACACCCCCTAGGTCCAAATGGTAGAGGAAAGGGCGAGGCCCTAGTTTGAGCATCCCTACCTTTTGTGTTTGACTGCACTCTTATATATAAAGGAGGAAAAGGAACCCAGAGGGGGGTGGGGGTGGAGGGCTTATAATAGCTTGTTTGTTAACCAAATGTCTGCCAGCAATTTAATCAATTACAGAGCTCAATAATCCCCCACCCCTCTCCACCATAGCCATTTCATCTTTCAAAAGAAAAATGAAACAATCAATATCATTCTATGACTCAATTCCATTAACAGAAAGGGTACAATATTACAAAACAAAGTTCATGAGGTTGCAAGTCATGTCAGGAGTTTCACCAAGTCTATTGAACTCACTAAGTATTACTAAGCTAAGCGCCTTGGTCCTTATACGAGGATCTTCTAACCCAGTCAAAGATGCTTTGCATATTAACTATACTGCAACTAGCCAAAACTTTATGTACCAGGATGCAGACAGCCAGAGATGAATCTGCCATCATTTAGCGCAATGCAACTACAAGAGTAACATAGTATGGAATTAAGTAGTCAGTTGACCAACAGACATGTATAATCAGAACTTTTTACCAAAAAAAGTTTTTTTAGAAGGAAAAAGACAATAAACACTTGTTCTGCAGAAACTAATTTCCTAAATTAAAATAAAAAAAAATCTCCTAAATTTACAACCTTCAAGTGAATAACTGCCAGTACCATCACCCTCTCAACAGACAGAAAACAGCAGCATCTCAAAAGCATTCTTGTATTACAAAAATTTCTATGCAACTACAAATAAAATTTATTCGGCATGCAGATTCAATACTTCCTTTTTCTACAACAAAGACTTTGGTTGCAAATAAAACTAATCAAGCCTAGACAGTAAATAGAACTCATCAGGCCTAGGATGTAATTGAACTCATCATGCCTAGGAGGTAAAATTACTCCCACTAATGCCTCCAACAACCAGAAAATTTTAATATTGCAAAACAGAAAAAACACAAGAAAATCCAATTTGACTCCACCTTGAAACAAGAGAGCCCCAACTAATTTGACAAAGCACAAAGACTGGCATTTTAATATCCTAATTACTGGTAAAGAAATCATCAGCAGAAACCATTGAATATTTAAACAACTATACGAGACCGCCGAAAAAGTTTACTAGATGCAACAAGACTCAATAAAATCAGAAAACTACTAAGTACCCCCTCCCTCTCCTTGGTCTTTACATTGTATGGTTGGGCGAAGCGGGCAATGTTGGATCATCAGAACTGCTATTACATCCTCATACACACATTGACACCACTGCAAAATGATTCACTGAAACTTCACCAATTCTTAACTACATAACCCTCGACTTACATGATTATGGACACATTGCATTCTCAAACAATAAACTTGCACAACCATCTCACTAAACCCCAGAAGTCAAGAACTTAGAAAGTATGATTACTTGTCCAAACAGTGGGATATAAAGTCCGCATATCTTCATATTAAGCAATTTAGCCATTCAAGTTAATATCAAACAGCACACATTTGCTATTCTCTATATCCACCAATATCATTTCTATATTTAACTAAGATTTTCTGCACACATAGCATTTATGTTTTTTCCTTACATCTACCACTGCAAAGATCCATAGGAAAATTGTAATGGCTCAATAGAACACAAAACTTGCACATAGACAACTTCACCATCTTAACAACTTTGTCAGTCCACAGGTCAATCTAATTTTTTCAGAAAGCATTTCTTTTTGAAATGTTTTCTCACAAACATCATAAAATAATGTTTTCTTGTTCTTGAGAATAAGGATGCAATTATATCATGTTATTAGGGAGTGATATCTGAGAGGACTTTCATGCAAGTAAATAAAAAATTAATTTAGGCATCAAGAGATTTTGTGAACATATCATTCAATGCAACTAAAGTAGTCAGACCAAAATAAATAATAAATGATTTTCATATAATATTTTATGCATGAGTTTAAACGCATACAAATAAATGGCCATGTTAGACATTCACATGTTATAACTAAGTATTTCAATCTTGGTTCCACTCTCCCCTGGATGTAAATGGTAACCGTGAATCATGGATAAAAAAGAGCCAGGAATTATATTCCCTGGCAGAATATATTGCAGGCTACCTTTTTAAATACATGTAGAAACAAACTTCAATATCAGATATCTAGCTGAAGGCGTTGTGATGAAGGGGGAGGACGTAAGGGAAGAGAGGGGTTTGCGAGAAGTTTCTCTTTAACTAAACGATTGGCTAAAATAAAAAGCAAACAAAGTAATAATATTGTGAAATAATTTTCAGAGAAGATGATTTAAGTGGTTGAGCAAAAGGTATGCAAGGCCAAGCAACTTAAATGACCCTTTGATGATAGCTAATTAATCACAACTAGTTTAGGACAATAGTTAGCGGGTCAGACATGACCAACGTGTCAATACAATGACCAGTGCAAACTTGCTTCAAGGAGAAAGTAAAGCTGAAAATAAATATTAATGCCGAAAAAGATTTTACTCTGAAGATGATACCACAGCATGTTGAGGCGTCGTGTATGGGACGTTTGGGGTTGTCATGGCCGAGTGAGAAAGTCCTGTTGGAGGAGATGAGGACTGGTCCTGGGACTCTGATTCTTTTTGCTGCTCATTAACTTCATTATTATCTGGAAAAAGATAAATTAGTTAACACCAACAACATACTGAGAGAGCACTCCAAATGAAAAGCAACCACCAAACAAGGTCAGTAAAATGAAAGCACTCAGACAACTAAGATAGAAAGCAGTGCAAGCACAAATAGTGGCAAGTAAAATAAAACAATGCTGCCTACAAAACCCACCAGCTGGCCCAGTGTTGCATGCATAAAACACAGGGACACAAGGAACCACCCCAATAAATCCAATAACAAAGAGGAAATGTCTAATAGAAAGTAATTCATTCAAATTTCAAAATGAAGAGTAATAACAAAACAAGGTCAATAAAACAAAAGCACTGAGACAAATAAGATAGAAAGCATCCAGGCATGAATACTGACAAGCAAGTTAAATCATGCAGCCTTAAATACCCACAAAATGACCCAGTAATGAGTCCTTATGACACAGGGAAAACCTTCACAAGGAGCTACCACAATAAGTGAAATAAAAAGGAGGAAATAAGCAGGAATTCAACAAGCTGAAACTAAAAAAGGCTTCCCAATCTCATTATTTAAATATCAAACCTCAATTAAATGCCAAAAGATCAAAAATGAAAAAGGCCACAAACATATCTAAATTTTGATCCATTCACAAAGTTCGTAACAGCATCATTACAGTGATAACATAAAGCATGAAGTTGATGAAGCATTTGACAAGAAATACCAGAAAGATCATGCACAGACGAAGTCATGAGGCTGTTGTGCGCACAGGATCTGCAAACTCAAATCTGGCAGCACAAACAACAGAATCAACGTAAGGGCTCTAGAAAGAATCAAAGCACTATTATCAAACAAGGCGAGCTTAGAGTTTATGTTAGATTTAGATTTAAATCAAAGTCTATATTGGAATATATGTTTGGGAGCTTCTCATGACATCAGTTAGATTTAAAACAATTTTCACAAAACTTAGACAATCAAAGGTTTTTACAAATTATAGGTATGCCACACATATGTTATGCGCTTGCTCCTGAAAGCATAACTATCACAAATAGGTAGTTGTTTCTGAAAAACTCAATAGCTATACCTTAAAAAAATAAGTTGTTACTTAGGCTTCGTTTGATTGTTATTTTTACAACTTGCTTTTTGCTTCTTCAAAAGTTACTAAAATGCAAAAGCAAACAAAGAAAAATCATAGTAATTGATTAAATATGAAGACATCACTAAAATGCAACACAGATTCTACCATAATTATTCTCTTTAAAGTAAAATCATGCATTTGTTTACCAAAAAATTACATTCCTAAGTTTAAATTCTTCAAAAAGATTTATTTGCTTTTGCATCCGAACACAATTGTTTTATTTAACTTCCCAAAGAAAAAAAAATAGCAAAAGTAACAACCAAATGAAACCATAGTAAATTGCTAATTGTTACAAATCATAACAGCAAACGAGCCCAAATTCAAGACAAATCATACCTACAAGTCAAAATAAACTAGATTTCTATAAAAGGTATTCAAATGTCCCACAAAAACTGAGATAAAGCTTCATTATAATTATTAATTCAACGCCACTCTGTCTAGAAAAATAACAAGAAACAGAAAGTCTCACACAAAATGAGCTAACAAATTCAAAAATGATAAATTATGAAAAAGTTTGTAAATAAGCAAGCTCAAGCTTCTTTTTATTTCTTGATTGTTTTGCCACTAGCGAGAGATTCATTTCTTCTACAACAATAATCAACTTCACCTTAGATTACTCTTTCAGTTAACTGAATATAAAGTGGCTAGGGAAATTTTCCCTCTCTATTCATTCCCTTCCATACTTTTAACCCATCCTCTTAGTCTGCCCAGTGCCTAGCAATCAGTTATAAACTCATACTACCTTCTCTCAATAGTTTGACCGACAAAGTAATAAGCTACAAGTATATATCCATTCTGAATTCTATTTCTGAAAAGTAAAAACTAGAAAATTCCTAGATAAAAATGTTTATGAGCGCCATACACAAGATTGTTAAGAAAAAAGAATAAGATAATCAAATAAATTCAACTCGAGCAAATTCAAACTCGGTTCAACGAGCTCAATTAACTCATGCAAGACATAATCAACTCAATTAAACAACATACGTGAGCCCTGAAACAAAAGCCAAAAAAAATAAAAATAAAAAGAAGATCAAGATTGGGGGAATTTAAAAAAGGAATTATTCATTACTTAATCTTTTGGGGAAATTAACGAAAGAAAACCTCCAAAATCTAAAAGAAGCGGAAAATGCCAAAATTTCACAGCTATTTTCTCGCACTCTCTCAACATCCAAACGGACCAGGAAATCGAGGTAGAGGAAGAAAAAAGCATTTCTGAATAATTGTCCTCTGCTCGAATTTTAAAAGATTATAAAAGGACAAAAAAACAATTAGCATCTGGTAGTTTGTAGGGAAATTCTCTTTCTCTGTAACCAAAAGGAAACAGCAGAAATTTTTCTTTTAAAAAGAGAAAAAAGCAACTAGGGTTTACTGAGAATCAAAAACTTTACCTTAAATAGAGAAATTGACTGAAATTCCGTGTGTTGCAGAGGGGCGTTTTATTTTACGTTTATTTCTGTTGCGCGAATGTGAAATTATGAATCTGTGCTAACTGTGTTTGGAAACTGAGAAAAAAATAATGAAATGAAAAGAAAAGTGAAGGAAACATTCAAAAAATAATAATTACCAAAACATGGATTGAAAACTATTTTAGCTTTTGTATTTTTTAATATAATAATTCTTTTTGTCACGCCCTTCGTTTTTGTGGAAAGAAAGTTATGCTACACTCGGGTTCATGGAGTCTCATTTTGATTTGTGGATGCATACATATATATATAATATATTATGTTTAATCTAATTTCTCTTTATTAAAGTCTAAAATGGAAAATAAAAGACTCCCTTTAGCAATTCCATCTTTTCTTCTCAACATTTTTCATTTGGCTCTCTCTATCTATCAAGGTGAATTGGGTTTATAGAATACAAAACTCAAAGTTTAAATTAATTTTTCTTTTTTGATTTGATTAAAAGATATTTTAATTCAATTTCTATATTTTTATATAAAATTTGTTACAAAATGATATTAATAAAATCAAAATTTCATTACTAAGAGTCAATTACTAAAATATACAAATCATATTGTACATATATGACTAAAAATAACATAATAGAATTCACACATATTCCATGAAGATATATTTTTATAAAAATAATTGTTCAGTATACATATAATAATCATTTAATATCATTTATGACGTTTAAAACTTTTTACGTGTATATATATAATTAGAGATTTAATTTAAAACTGAGATAATTTTTTTATATTTTTTTCCTCAATATTGCAAAATGTGAAACTAATTCTAGTAAACATGATATATCATATAATAAGATGTACCCTATTCTTTAACTAAACATCAAATACAAGTATTAGTTTTATGGTACTTCAGCATAGATATATCGCAGACGTATAATTAAGGAGAGCGCACGGTGACTATTATAGACGCGCAAACACAGAATAGAGAAATCATTCCTGGCCGTGGTTAAATTTCAGTGGAAAATGCGTTTCGGGCAGTGATGGTACTGCCTAAGAAGATAGGAGAATAAATCTGGACCACGAATGATGTGGCGCCCACGAGGTGAGTGGATGGGATTGAAGGTGACCGCTGACTGTAGATGGGTGGAGTTAAAAGTTGGAGTACGGATCAGCTACACGTGGGTCCAGGGAAAGGGATCGTACAATTGGTACTCTACTGCTGTCCTCCCCGGGGCACATGTTGCTTGTTAAAACTACTAGATTAGCCATGTCACCAAGAGGAGAAGCCTTGAAAGATTCTATATTTCTATTCCAGAATTTTTTCGACAATTTTTAGAGCAATATTTGCAAGTGCACCCTTCCTAGTTAAAGGTGTTCACCAGTTGAGTTATTTGTATAAGTTCATAACTAATTTGAATATAAATATTTGACTTTTAAAAATTTGAATTTGATTTAATTATGTAATTCTAAAAATAATTTTATCATGTGATATAATTTTAGGAATGTAATTTAACATGTTATGTAGATTTAATTTCAAGGGTGCTTTTGTAATATAATAAGCAATGTAACTTTAAAGATATTTTCACCGTCTAATATGTCGTATAATTTTAAAAATATTTTAATAATTTGGTATGTGATATAGTTTTAGAAACATTTACATAACTTTTGTACATGATGTAAAATTCATATGTTGTTAAGATTTTTAATCATTTTAATCATTACAAGTTATTTTGCTATTGTTTTGGTTACATATTTATTTTTCTTGAATATATTTGGATCGTGTTAATGATTCAATGACCATTCAAAGTTAGTTATCTAATTACATCTTTTTAAATGTATATATGATACAATGAAACATTTCGTGATTGCTTGAGATACTTAGATAACAAAAGCTATGTCTTAATTGATTTTAATCGTTAATTGACTTGATCTAAAGTGAAATAGTAAAAATTAAGTTTATCTTAAACAAATTAGAAATTATGTTCCTTTCTTATTTAAATATCCAAATCTCTTAATCAAAGATTTTGATAAAGACAGAATTTGTGGCCTTTAACTACTATATAATTGGCTCTCGTGTCTTATCATAAATAGCACAACTCCGAGGTTTTTTAAAAATTTAGATTCATACTAGCTAAAATAGTTTGAAATTGATGGAGAGTAAACTTGTTGAAAGTGTCCTTTCAAAACAAAGTAAACAAGAGAGAAGAAGCACATTGAAATGTGAATATGTTATATAAGTTGTATGAATGCTTGTGTTGGGGATTAGGATGGCTTTAGGCTTAGATTGATATTACATGTTTAAACTTGTTTGAATGTTCATCAGATAGATATGGTGTACTTGTATCTCTTTTGTATTTTGGCTGTTTCTTTACCAAGGCTGAGTAGTGGAGGAAATGCATGTGTGCATCTAATCTCAGAATTCTGATTCTGAAGCGACGCCCACTGTTTTCAAGTTTGGTACAAATGATTTGATTTGATTTGATATTTGATGGCCCTTTGGGCAATGCTAGAGGTCTATGTTGCAACCAAATCACCCTTCCAAAGGCCCCCTTTGGAATTATTACACTTTTTTCACTTTCATTATCATTTTAAAACATAATATAGAATTAAAAATGAAATTAATGATTTGATAATATAAAAACGATTATTGAGTAATTATTTAATCAACTTGGTCAATTTGGGTGGGTTAATATACATTCAATTTGGCCAACTTCCTCTTTTATTGTAACAAATTTCTTCAATTCCAAGCCAACATCTCAAATTCAAGAGCTAGGATTATGTAAAAAGTTTTTTCTTTTCAGCGAAAATTGAGTTAATTAATAATTAATTTTATTATTATAAAATAAATAAATTGGTTTAAAGTTGATTGTAGCGTCAGTATGCATGAACAAAAGAGTCAAAGGGGGAGGCAGCAGAAGCAGCAAAGTTTTAATTGGGTAACTTAGCAGCAATCCGAGGAGCCAAAGGGGACAGCAACGAGGCAAAAGGCGTCTTTTGCCACTCTCCAAAGGGTCATTTATATTAGTATTAATCAAATTCACTCCAATCTTGTTCCTTTTATGTTCATTTCTTCATTTTCTGAAACTCAGGCCTAACACAAGCCAAGTGGTAAAAAGCAAGACCCAACCCACATTTCTCTTCACTCTCGCTTTCTTTGCTCTCCTAATCATCTCATCATGGCCCATTCTGCTGTATCCCAGGTATTTTATCAATTATTATTTTTATCTTTGATTACCCAGGAATATATATATATATATATGTATATTTAAAAATCTTATTATTTCTTTAGCTGTTCTTGAATTTATCGAAATGGGTTTTCTGAAACACAGATTTTGTTTTGTTTGTTTTTCAGGTTTCTTTAGCTGTTCCCATTGGAAACGATATTTCTCTAAGGAGATCTGTATTCAAGGTATTGATTAGTATTATGATTCTGATTTTTCATTCAAAACCTAATTAATTTTTACATTCCTTTTGAGTTTTTGGTTAAGTTGCCGTGGTGGGTAATTTGATTCTTTGGAAAGACTAGGAGTAACGATCTTTACAAGTTTGAATTTTCAGCTCAGGTTGTTAAGCCTTTTATGGAGGAATTTGGACAATCATGTTAAGATGTTATGGTTGAATTTTTTTGATCTTATCTACTTTAATGCGCTGTTGGAGTCAGAATCTATGTATAATCTTGATAACCAGTAACCAAACTTAAACCTTTTCTTTTTATGGGCTGAAATACAGTTAATGTTTTAAGTTTTCATATTCTCTGAGACTAAGAGTGATCATAATTTGTGTCAGAAGAGATTATTTTCACAAAGTAGTGCTACAGGTTGTAGGAAAAACGAGAATACCATGGTCATCTTTCCTATAATATTTAACTATGTCAATTGTCAATACCAACTAAACAAATGCAATGCCTTGTTTGTGATTTCTTCTTTTGTGTCAAGCTTCAATTTCCAAGTTCTGTCATGCCTTGAGGCTCGAGGAGTGTCTAATGTCTATATTCATGCTGCACTTTTGCCTTCAAAACTGTGATGATAAAGCCAAATGATCATCTCTTCTTCTCCTTCCTCCTTTCTTTAAGAAGTCGAAGTTGCTGACTGCAGAAGAGTCATATTGCTCTTTGTTTCTTCCTTTTTCCTTTAAAATACCGCATTGCATTATTGCCACTTCTGAACACATTTAAAATCTTCCAATAAATTGAAGTTGTTGACAGTAAAGAATTAAATAGTTTAACAGATCATTGTTTTAGTGAGATGCTATCTGGTTTATCCCTCTGCAGTAGGTTACAGATGCAATGATGCTGAACTTCATTGGCAGCTCAAGTTTTCTCTTTCTTCATTAATTTCCTACAGTGGTTGTCTGTTATGATAATGCACTTTTCTCATGCCTGTGCATCTTTGAATGTGTCGACAATGGCCAAAGTGAGTGTGGTTGTCAAATGCAGCTTTGTGAACTAATTTGTCCACATGATAGACAACTGTATTCAGCAATTTGTGTTGGGAGTTGTTTCTTTAGTTAATATTGTTGGTGCGATAACTGAACTAGAGTTGCATTGTTTCTTAAGATGTTGTTTCAGCTTATATTTTTTTATCCTGCAAGTTAACCTTCTGCATAGTGCATATGCCAAATTAGGTCTTAACACAGAAGCACTTGGCTTTTTTGCAGAGGAACAGTATAAGCTTTGGTGACAAGTCATGGGTTTCCACCTTATCTTTGGATTTAAAATCACGAAATATACAGAAGAGCAATCAGTACATAGTATGCATGTCAGTGCAACAAGCCAGCAAATCCAAGGTTGCAGTTGCACCTCTAGAGTTGGAAAATGCAAAAGAGCCCCCACTAAATTTATTCAAGCCCAAAGAACCTTACACAGCTACCATTGTTTCTGTGGAGAGACTTGTCGGTCCAAAAGCTCCGGGTGAGACTTGCCATATTGTGATTGACCATGGTGGCAATGTACCCTACTGGGAAGGGCAGAGCTACGGTGTTATCCCTCCTGTAAGCTTGCCATACCTATAATGCTGTGTTTTTGACTGTTTTGAGTTAGTTTTGTGCAGTTAAATCAGTAATTTTTATCCTTAGAATATATCAACTTTAAGCATAGATGAAACTTGCAGTGACGAGAAATCATGCTTGGAACATGGGAATGAGATATTTTTGAATTTTGAATGTCATGTTCACCATCAGTGTCCAGTCGCATCCATTAGTGGCTCTCAATCTCATAGCTTGAAGTCATGTGTATTCTTTCAACTTCTTGTTTTAGTTTCT